AGCAGCAGCAGCAGCAGCAGCAGTAGTTGTTGTCATTGTCACCATTTTCTTCGTAATCTTGTTGTTCCACAATAGTTAACAATAATAAGAAATTGAAATTCGAAAATGATTTGAAACTGGAATGGAAAAATCGTTCTCATTATTGTTAACTTATAAAATTCTTTCGATTTTTTTCTTTTCAATCTCCGTCCATTTTACTTCTCGGAAACGGACACTTTCCTAGACCATCGAATTTCATTTCATAGTCACTCAAACGGGAATTCTCAATCCCTATCAGTTTACTAATAAAGAATGGTGGATTGTCTAGCTTTTTTAAATACGTTTGACTGAAAATATACTAGCGCAATACGAGGTTCTTCCTATTCTTATCTATTACCACATCGTATGCATTAATCTCTTCATTAGGTTCTTGGACAAATTCGAATCTAAAAACGTAAAATCAAATCGATGCATTATTTTGAAAGATAATAAATTGGCGAACACAATTTATTATTTTTGGCAAGTATGAATGATACGTGAATAGTATAGTATGAGGCCGGTAAGGAAAGAAAATGGCCAATCGTTCTTCCTCCACTGCGCTTGGTCTCTCTTTACGCCACTCACTCACCACAGCAGCTGTTCTACTCTTTTGTCTTCACAGTCGCACAATATTTGTGAATGTCAAAATCATTAAGCATCTTTTGTTAGTTATGTGTAAATGTTAACGCAGTTTTCTGTGTGAGTAGCTATAGTAATCATCATTGTAGATGGTCAGTGTGTTCTTCATATCATCTTGTACTGAATCAGCTTTTCAATTTGATGTTGCTTTTGCCTTTATATAATTATCATGGTTACTGTTTGTTCGATTCTCGTATCTGGTAGGGTCTTGTAGTGAGTAGAGTTGTATGTTATTTCTCTCCTGGTCTTCGAAAGTTTTCTCCTTGTTCTCCGGTTTTCCTCCCTCCAAAAAATCAGTCAACTTTTATTCCAATTCAATCAAGAAACGAGGGCCACAGTTTTATTAGCCACTGGCTATTACTAGTAGTGCTATCCTCGTAGAACTATATAAGACTTTCTAATCTATTTTTGTCATGTTATGCTGTGTGTTTTTGTTCTCTTCATTGCTGGAGGCAATCAATTTAATCTTAACTGAAAAATAGCAACGACATGTATGAGTGCATGTTTTTCTTAGAACTGCCATCTTGGTTACAGCTATTTTTACTCCGACGAAGGACTAACGTCCGAAACGTCAGTTTCACGAAGCTTTTTACGGTGATGCAATTTATCTACAAGCTCCGACGCAGTCCACGCTAATTCTACTAGTTATACTGAATACTGCATACTAAATAGTGCACTCCAAGACCAAAGGGCATTGTGGGTCTCGTCAATTTGAAATAAAAAGTAAATATACAGCAGCAATTAACGCTCTACATGTAGCTAGTATATATATTGTTTCAGATGGAATACACTAAAAATAGATTAAATAACAATGTCATTATGATCCACAATACACTTCGGTCTTGGAATGCACTTTTCACTATGGAGTATTTAGTATTTAACCTTTTTTGAAATAGCTGTATATAACATCAATATAACAATAGGTTCAGCAATAGTTTCTTTAACCAAAATCACTTCCAAGAATATCTGTTATTTCATTTTCCTGGAAACGATTGCAAATCATTTCACAAAAAAAAAAAACATAGAGCAAATATTGACAGAACTGAAAAAACTAGAAAAAATCAATTAAAATAAGGTTTTGAACGCCGGATGCAGATAAAAAAAGAAAAAATATAATTAGAAACTAAGCATATTTTATTCTTAGTAACTAATACCTATTAAAGTTGAACAATATATTGCTTATGTACTGTTTGTTTGTTTGTTGTTGTTTTTTTTTTTACATCATACAATATGGCCGCCATGGCTGCCATCTTCGTTCGATATTTATTATTGTAAAACTGAAAAGCTATTCCAGCATTCAAAGAAAAACACGAGAAAGAAAGAATACTAAACCAACACTGTTGAACAGAATTCGGTTGCTATGGTAATATGCCATTTATAGTGGCAAACGCTTGTATTCTGGAATAGTCTAGCCCATGTCGTGATAGACCTTGATATTGAATTCGTGGCGTGGAAATTTGATAGCTGTATAATTAGGAATATGAAATAAAAGAATGACATTTGATTCTATAGACAACAGCCATTGGTGAAAGATATCATAATTAGCTCACCAGTGTAAACCATATATCCCTGAAATAGAGGTGTTTTCAAATACCCGTGAAACACACTTTAGCGTATTATACTAAAATATACTTTATTGTCCGTATTTTCTTTTGATTTTCTTTTGTGTTTTCGGTGTATTTCAATTTATTACACCTTAGTTATTACACTTTGTTTCACGGGTTTTTGAAACCACTCTAGCACAAAAACTAAATAGCACTAAACACATCTATTTCTTTTGTTTTTCAATTGTTTCATTGATGCTAATTTGTGCTCATTAGTTAGTACTATTTCACGGATAATATATTGTTTGCACTCTAACATAAGAATAGGAATAAGATTATTTAGTATGCAGTGCATGTATCAGTTTGATGAGTTGAATATTTAACAGCCGACTTCTGAACTGTTAGTTTCAGCCAAAAGGGCGGACATGATGTCAAATGACGAATAGGAATAGAGGCTTTTTGCACCATCACGTGATAGCAGCCATGACAGGAGGCACGAACAATTGTATCTGGCCTAATCTGGTTCACATGAGAAAAATAGTCCTTTTCACTTAGACCTTTTGTTAACGCCTTGGACAATTATTCACATGCCTCTATCATTGCAAGCTCACCGTTCATCTCGCTTTGATGCAAAGGCACGGCTACCTTTCAAGATGGTGCCGGGAACTGTGAAGGGAACTATTCAGTTTCCCAGGGGAAAAAGACTCTATTATCGTGCCTTCTGTCATGGCTGCCATAAGCCTCCATCCATATGATATAGATTTCTAATGTTGGTTTGCATTCGATTGTTTGTACAGTTTGGGATCTCGGTTGCTATTCCCAAGACAGRAGCAACAAGGAGTTTATATATTCAGCTGGAAATTACAAGGCCAGCGATACGTCCATCCAAGACTGCACCTCAGCATGCGCCCTGACGACCAGCCCTTTCAAGTATGCCGCTACAGAGGGCTCCTATTGCTACTGCAGCAATACAACAGACAAGATTGCCAAAGTTAGCGACAGCAAATGCAATGAAGTATGTACCGGTGACGTGTGCATTGGACCGGCCTACATCCGGGTCTTCAATACCAACGTGTCAATCGAAGGTCTCTCTGTACATACCCCGGATGTTGGATTTCTTCTTCAGGATGTTGGTTTTGGCGCCACAGTCGTTAAAGGTAGACTTGTTGATCATGTATCAAGATGCCAGGGTTAATAGACTTTTTATCGAATTCGTAAAACGGAGTGCTTCTCAACACTTTTCGAGTGTTCTGCCAATCCCCAAGTGCTTTATAACTCCAGACAGCACAGCAAGCAAGTTTTTTTTTCTTTGATAAAATACAAATTACAGGAATGACGAAACTGGAAGTGCGCGTGCGTGCTGCGTGCTCTCATAAAGCACGCGCTCCCAATCAATCAGAACGCGAGATTTAGAACAGTTATTTTATAATTTGTTTTAAGCAGAATATTCATGTGTTTAAATGAAGGTCCGTGGAATTTCAAAGTGTTTGTACTATTGAAGTTGTGCATTCTTTAATTTACGTTGGTATTTGTGAATATTTTGAGGCTGAAATGAGGGTAACCCTGAGTAAATGAATATGTAGTCCAAAAACACATTTAAAATGTCTGTTTTAATCTGAGCTGTGCTTCAGATATGGGTCGTATTCCACTACACATCCGCCTACTACACTACAGGTATATAAAGAGAATTCGTTTTGATTTTTTCATATAATAGGAGAAACCAACGCATCGTACACATTCGATTTCGGCGACAAGTCATTCGTCCTGACCACGTGTTGCAACACCACCCACAAGTACACCCAAACGGGCGTGTTCGAGGTTAAAGTCTCCGCAAGAAACAGCCAATCAGGACCGATTCGTGCCTCGGGTTGGGTTTCGATCGAGAGCTCCCTCGGGATTGTGCGGATCAAATGCCCGGAGGAAATAGTTGAGACTGGTAACGTGACAAAAGTGACGGCCTATACTACCCAGGGGACAAATTTGAGAGCGAGGTGGATTACAAATAACCAAGGGGAAGCAAAGTACTTCAATATGAGTGGTAAGATTAAAGCAGTAGCCTAGCCTGCGAAACGGCCCTCCAGTGTTGGAGGATTGGGGAATGTGGAAATGAAATCCATTCCCCTAGTCCCCCGCGCCGAAGAGCCGCTGCGCAGGCTAGTAGCCACAGGGAACCCATTTGTATATATTTACAGCTATTCTGATATCATTACGTTTTAGATGCCACTATCGTTGGAGTAGGATCAAAAGCAACCTTCGGCAACATAAGCGGCTCGCTCCAGTCCGACGGTGCTTTCATCAAGCCCACGTCCATGTTTAACCGAGATGGATACGTGATGGCCTGGGAGGTGTACGCTGCAAAGACTGGAACCATTAAACTTCAGGTAAATCTCCCTCCCCCGCTTTTCCTCATATGAATCTAAATGAAATTTTAAAAAATTGATTATACATTTAGTAATAATYGAGTTTCGAGTTCTCTGTTGCTCAGTGTTAACCACAATTTTGAGTAGAATATTCAAGTTCCAGTGAAGGTCCGTGGAATTTTAAAGTGCTTGTATCGTTGCAGTTACTGTTGGTATTTGTGAATATTTAGACACTGATACGAGGCTAACCCTGAGTAAATGAGTCTGTAATCAAGGAACACAGCGGTAATTTCGAACTCCAAAATAGTCTATTGTACGAATTCGAATTCGAAAATGAATAATGTAGAAGTTGATCTTCACTTGTCTCTTCCCACCGTACCACCTGTAGGTATATCGCCCGGTATGCTCAAACCCCGCGGAACTGTTCTGTCCATTAAACATGACGTGCATCCCAGCTGGTCTCGCGTGTAAGCCAAGCACTACCTTCAAATGTCCAGGAAATGGGAATGTCTGTCTGGCCACAGGACACTGCCTTCAAGGGTGTGCAGTACAGAATGTATCTTTCCCAGGATCTTCTACTCCCATCGTGGACTATAGGTTAATACAAGGTAAGATGGATTACAATGCGCTATAATCAGTATAATAATTTAATAACTGCGCTTGTAATTCACTACTAATCATAGATAGCGTAGTGGTAATACAATCGTTTCTTAAGCTTCCCTCTGTGGTGTCGGGTGACCTCCTGTAAGCGGTATCACATGTGAATGAAGCTTGTTGCGTCTCTCCCTTGATTAAAGTGGTTACGTTTTCTCAGTGTTGTCTTGTTTTCCTTCATCCACAAAATCCCCACGCTCGAAGTTCCTTTTCCACCTGTGAGTTAGCCGTACCCAGACTTGTATAGATGCCCTGACATAGATGTATTCTGCGTCACGGGGCTATTCTCTTTGACTGCTATTTCAAAGCTGCTATCTTTCTGAAATAATTTCCAAAACCAGTTCAGTACCAAATCTATAGGTTATGTCAGACGCTTTACCCTATTAGATAGGAGACAGGCGGCAGGTTCCACTAAATTATAGACTTTTATTGTTCCAACTTCTAGAGACCATTGTCAACATCTCCAAAGTTGGTTACAACATATTCAGCCTACCACCACACAAAGCCATTGAAGTGCAAGCTGGTGACGTCATAGGCTGGGCAACCAATAGCAGCGCAGGAGACTTGGCGTTTGAATTGTCATTGGAAGAGCCCCAGTTTTATTACCCATACTCGTCGTTCAGCATTGTAGTGGGTTCGAAGTTGTCCAAAAGTGCTGGAGCAATCAAACAGAATATCAACCACGTGATCAGAGCGCATATRAGCCGGGCTTCGTTCACTTCTAATGAATTAACGTTCGATAATGCTGGGATATTTAATGTGTCTGTAATTATCAAGAGTCAACAGGGCAATAGCTTTAACGATTCACTTCAGTTTTGTACCGTATCTGTGCAGGTAGGGCGAAAAAAATGCCTTTAGTTCGTTCTTTTTTTCCCGTTAGTTCCATCTATCTATCTGGTATTTCATTTCTTCCTTCCTTATTTCCTTCCTTCCTTCCTTTATTCATTCTTTCATCGATTATTTTTTTCTTTCGTTAGTTCCGTTTCTTTCTTTCTTTCTTTCTTTCTTTCTTTCTTTCTTTCTTTCTTTCTTCGCCCCACTTTTCCTTTCTTCCAATCATTAACACAATCTCAAACCTCTTTCTTTCGCCAGGAACGCATAACCAACCTGCAAATCGAACAACCTTTATGCTATGACAAGAGCGTTAGCTACGCTACTGGCAAGTCTTTCGACCTGATCCCTAAGACTGTAAAAGGGAGCAACGTTACGTATACATGGAACATTGCAAATAAAACAGTCGTGACAGACAGCAATGCGAATATGCAAATAGATATCCCTGGTAAGTTGATGATCTGATAATAGACGTCTTATCATTGGGCGTACTGTTTTCCCATTTCAGACCACATTTCGTTTACTTGAGAATAAGATTCTTTGTTTGAGCTATTTCCATATTCATGTCTTCTCGTATGTAATCGTTAAGCGAGGAAATCCTATTCCAGGGAATGACACATGGTCTGAAATGGGAAATCATTGCCCCGAAATTAGGTCCCATTTTCAAAACATAAGTGGAAGAAGATTCTGTACTTGTGTTAGGTCCAAGTACTTCTGCTTTCTCTATGATTTTACCAGTAAACAAAGAAATTATGTTCAAGAGAATGACACGTATATAAGTCTGAAATGAGATGACAATGATTTCAGTGGATTAATTCAGTGGAAAAGTGAAATGGTATTGGGGAAGGGTAGAGAATTCCAAGTTATTATTTGTGAGATATTCTGTCTCTTCCGGCTGTCACGCAATATTATATTGTTACAACGTCACGTCCTTATGGAGGAAGCTTCCAAGTATTGTAAGTACGACGTCATTATACCTGATTAGTATCAATAAAGTGTACGTCATTACTTATTGAGGAAGGGTAGAGAATTCCAAGCTTTGTTTCGTAATATCTTCTGTCTCTTTCCGATTTTTTTTAGGTTTGCATGAAGTAACGGTAATGGCATCCAACAACATCAGCGCCTGCGACGCCTCGACCATCATTAGTGTTCAAAACCCCGTGGGATTGATTGAACTGGTCAACCAGTCACAAAACATTGAAGTAACCATTCCTGCAAACTTCTCCCTTCGATTTACCCGCGGTACAAACATCACGGTGGAGGTCTCTTTTGATGGAGTTGTCACAGATACGTTCTTCATAAGCGAAGCTGCAAATACCACCCGAGAAGTCACGCACATGTAAGTTTAACTGGTCACGCACATGGAGGTTGTACTAGCATCCTCCGCAGGCATGCATCTCCTTGGCTCTTTTTGCTCCTTGGGCTTCCTATGGTGAGGACAAAAAAGTCGAAGTGGGAGGGGGAAGGGAGGGGCAAAGAAGAAGAGATGTTACTGCTCTCGATTTTTTCCCTCCCTCCCTCGTCCCCACTCCTCCTCCCTTCTCTTTTCTAGTTCCTAGTTCTTCTCTGCCATAAGATTTAACACAGGGCTCTCAACGGAGAATATATGGGGTTCCCTGCGGAGGAGCCTAAGGTTGTACAACCAGTCATGCAAATGGATTAGTATAACTAGTCACGCTCATAGAATTAGTATAACTAGTCACGCACATTGAAGTAGTCACGCTTATGGAAGTAGTATAACTAGTCACGCTTATGGAACTAGTCACGCTCACGGAAGTAGTATAACTGGTCACGCTTATGGAACTAGTCACGCTCATGGAAGTAGGATAACTAGGCACGCACTAGCACGTAAGATATGATAATAAAAAAGGAAGCGCCGACAAGACATGCTCTTCGAATCGCGCCTTAACTTACTTGGCAGAGACCTTAATAACGCGAGCACTTTGCTGTCACGTGACAACGTATGCTTGTAACAACTTACAGATTAATGACTTATCTTTCTCTATATGTTTAGATTTTCCACAGGTGGTACCAGGGAAATGGTTGTAAAGGCGTCTAACAACATCTCTCCTCCTCTGGGGCAACGATCCGAAACATTCCCAATCGAAGTCAAAGGAAAAATAGGTCAACTCATCACCGAGGTCGAGCCACAGCTAACATCAGATGGAGTCCTAGAAATCGCCACTGGCCAGCAATTCCAGATAACAATTTACTCTACGCTAGATATTCCTATTAATTACTCACTGACTTACGAGATTTCTAATATTAAAGATAGCAAAATTACTCTAAAAGGCAAAGCCAGCTTCCTCGGGACGTTTGAGTCCAAGGATTACACGGGGCAAATCTCCATCAACGCTACGGCCAACGGAGAGATTATTCGTCTGTCGATACCTGCACGCGTGACATGGTGTGGACCTCCTGCAATATTCAAACCAGCCAACTACTCAAAGAAGTCTCCGCTAATGAAAACAATGGCCACGCCCCTGGAGTTAAAGTACCGCTCGGTGTACACAAAGAGGGAAGGCTGTAGTTATGGTAAACTGATTTACAAATGGAGAATCTACAAAATGGAAAGCGGTTTGTACTCTCCAGTGAACCATTACCAACCGGACAGTGAAGAAGTCTTTAAGGTGCCGCTAATGATACTGAAGAAAGGGAACTATACTATAAACATGACGCTGACCTACACGGGTACGGGACACCAGTATTTGTACGAGACTTTCTTTGACATTCGTAAATCAGAATTGTTCTGCCTTATTAATGGTGGTAATATTCGTGGAGTGCCTTATGAGCCGGGTAGCGCTATCAGCCTCAACGGAGAAGGATCTGTGGACCCAGACCAACCAGAAGGACCTAAGCTGGCGTTCAAATGGAGCTGCAAACTCAACGACGATAACAACACGAAAAATGTAAGAGCAATACTCCCGCGAGCATGCGCAGGCAGAACCTGAATAGTCACGTGATGCTGGTTAGATGCGCATGCGTTATGAATGCCGTGCTCAAGCACGCTCGTCTAAATTAGTTATTTTTCAATGTTTTATTTGCTGTTTTTTTTTTTCCTTTTTTTAAATTTTGTTAAAGTTTTTGTTCATAGTCGAGGAAGAGGAAGAATGAGTTAGATTGTTTGAAATAGCAACCTTTGCTTTGTCTATTACAGTGCGGACACTCAAACCATGAACACTTCGAGGTTTTTTTGACATTTTTTCTACATTTTTACAACTATCCAATCAGCGATCCCCTTCTTAAAAGGAATGAAACAACTTTTAGGCATCATCCAATCAGAACACACGATATAATTGATGTGATTTAGTTTTTCAGTAGTTCCCATGAGAAAGCTAAAAATAGAACTCCTAACGATTGTCGTGATTGGATAACGCATTAAATAAAGTTTGAAAAATGTTGAAAAAATATCAAAAAAACCTCGAAGTGTTCATGGTTAGATTATCCGCACTGTAATGATTAAAGCACTTTTCGTTATTCAATCTTTGACTCGGTAACATTCAGACAATCATTAACGCGCGTTTTTGTGTTTTTCCACTAAACTTGTTTTGAGTATTTTTTAATTGACAGAGGACCTAACACAAGACAGGCGTCTAGGAGTTTTCGAGGTCACAGAAACACGAAAAACGCTCTAAAGAATCTTGTAACTTGTAAAACAAATCATTAAGTTATTCTCTTTGCTCTTGTGATAGGTGTTTTCAGCTCCACTCAACTCCGACGTTCCTACTTACTGTAATTCCACAACTTTTCAAGACACTCCCATTGAGCCGAACGCTGCCATCTCAAATTTGCCTATCAAATATTTCCGTGAAAATGCTTCGTATGTGTTCCAGCTTCGAGTGAGCAAAAACAGCCGACAGAAAACATGCCAACAAAAAATCCTTATTTTATCAGAGGAAAATCCTTTAATAAGTATCCAGTAAGTTTTGTAAAACTAAAAAAATAATACCTTAGATATTCGTTATTTTATTGATCGGTTTTCGGAATATGCGCAATAACAAAATTAATTAAAAATCAAAAACTGTCGCTCTGCATGTTATTTGTCGCTCTACAACTGACCTGATCACAATTTGATCATTTGCCAATTTGACGCGCGCGCGTTTTATGAAAAAGGCGGGAAAAGTAATTTTTCTTCTTCTGGGAGTGACGTATGAAAATAAAAAAACTTTGTGCTTTGCTAAATTTACGGAATTTACTGAGGTGTTCTTATTTTTTTCTTTCTTATTCCAAGATGTAAGAGCAACTGTAAAGACAAAGTAAATCCTCAAGATCGTCTCGTCATTAATGCATTCTGTAGCAACTGTAAAAACGATACAAGGGATCTGTCGTTTAAGTGGCATTTACTTGACAATAGAGGCAAGCTCGACGCAGCGCTGTACGAAGAGCCCTCCACAACAACCACAGGTTGGGATAAAATGAATATCGTCCTGAGAGAAAACACACTCAGTGAAAACAAACAGTACCATCTGAATCTAGAAGTGACTAGACGGTCAGTCACGACTGTCACGCAATATTATATTGTTACAACGTCACGTCCTTATGGAGGAAGCTGCCAAGTATTGTAAGTACGACGTCATTATGCCTGATTTATATTTATAAAATGTACATTATTACTTATTATAAATAATACGCCATTACGTCATTATTTGTTATAAATATCACGTCATCCTTCGATCGAGTTTCTAAGACGCCTAACATGTGGCATGCTGGTCTAGTTTGAGTACTTTTTGTCATTATGCCTTATATGTTGTTGTTCTTACACAGAGCTATATATCAGAACACCGAATTCTGGGGTGCTTTTGCATGTACCGCAAACCTATTGTTTTCTTTGTTAGCTTGGTTCTATTGTATAACTTGGAGTCTTTGGTTGTTTCTATTGAATTACGTAAACTTTGTCCGGTACCAAAGAAGGAGCCGGATTCTTCCACTAATATAGCTTGTACGCAAGCTAGACTAAAATGCCCCTTTCAATTCTCAATATAAGCTTGGGTTTCAGTATTACTCAACAAAACTTTTAACAACAGTGAAATATTTTATTTTCTTCCCAAGGCCCGAAGAAGGATACAACATTGAAAGCAAGTACCACATCAGCTGCAAAGAATGGCAGACGGAAGATCCGCAGATTCTCTATGAGTTTCATTACATCAATGTACGCCAAGCAGAAGCAAAGATCAGTAGTTTACCACCAGATAAGACCGTTTCTACCCTATGGTACTATGGACCTTTCCATGAGACTCCTTCAAGCTCTCTGCCTATCGGGAACAAGGACGATGACTACAAGCTTTCAATTATTGTGAAGATCTATAATCGATACGGCGCTTACAGCAACTATAACCTCAGTGCTATCGTAAGTCTTGCCAATAGACCTTTTTAGCTTTGTTGTTCGTTGCACACATTTCAGACCATGTGATGTCACTCTTGGGAGTTGATTCTTTCACGTGTAAATATTTTAACATATTCGTCTCTGAAGGGAATGATGGGCAATTCGCATACGAAGTTAAAAAGGTCATAAGTAATTATTTTGTAGAAAATATGCTTAGGTTACGTTAATTTTCCATGCAAAAAGGTCGATCCTGTTGCTTGGGATACCCTGTTTAATTGAGGTAGCACCTGCATGGGGAAAGAAAACAAACGAATAGTCCTCTACAGAAACAAGTGGGGAATTGGGCACATTTCCCGTGGACTAGCTTAGCAACTCTTTAGGGTAGACAGTCAGTAGCTCCAAGGTTGGGCAGAAAACTGGAAACGAGTATGACGCGCACTGAATCATGGGTCTGTCTTAGGGGACGCCATTTTTTCAGCATGGCAGAAAGCTTAGCAGCCTCTCTTGAAAGACCGAAGACCAAAGTGAATTTTAACTCGATTCAACAAATAAACCTTTCTCAGCACCATTAAGGCATGTTTCTTTTGAGGAAATGATGGAAAATCAGTTATTTATTCATATCTTTGACAGTTTATAATGAATCTTTCCCAATTTTGGCTCGTAGTAGTAATTCTTCAAGGCAAGCAATTACCACATATCTGTTACCATGGAAACCMTGTCACGTGACCACAAGGCCACCATCTGGGATTTTTTAAACAAGCCTTTTGAAATCCTATTGAAACTACTTCAAAAGTCCTGAAAATCCACATTCCTTTTTATATTTGCATAGCCTATATGGATCTAATTGGATATCTTGGAAATTATATTAAGTTTAATTTTTAGAATATTTTTAATTTTTTTCGTCCGTTTATTAGGACCTTTTCAACCTAACTCAATCTAACTGAATGATTACGTTGCGATATAGTGTTCATACTCGTGATGAACGAGAGCGCGCGCAGTAAACTTGCGCGAGCTGTAAAAGTATAAGAAGAGAGAAAATTTACATTATAACTGTTCTAGGGATCTTCATAAAGTTCCATTCTGTTTTGTTATTTATTATTTTATCTTGTTCTTCTCTGCTAATTTTAACAGACTCAGTTATTTGTCTCAACATTGCATCACCCTGAAAAGATCTTGTCATATTCATGGGGAAGTCTGTAATAAGCCCTTCGTGTTTCTCTTTGCAATGTCTACTTAGTGCTGATGATTCGCCTTTCGAATCCAGTGCCATCAAATGTTCTCTTCCCYTAGTGTACGCGTTTCTTGCCGTCTCTCCGATATACTTATCGCCACAGGATTTGCAACTGATCTCATACGTTACATCTGTAGCTCTGCAATTTCCCCTACCTCCTGTTTGGCACACTAGGCAGTCTTCCTGTTCACAAGGGTCTCTCCTGAGCGGGTTTGACTTTTGTAGCAAACTCTTAACGCTCGTGCTAGCTTTCTCCACTAATTTGATCTTAATGCTACTCTTTCTGACATCATCTTCAAGTTTTCTTTTCAGCTCCGAGTTTGGTGTCGCTGGTATCATTATGACACTCGTAAAGCCTCCTCTCTTATACCAGGTCTTCTCTTTGCACTTCTTTTCTTTCCTTCTTTCCATTTTCATCCACTCTTTGCGTCTGTACAACGGTCTTTCACCTGATTGATCTAGCGCTAAGATCTTCTTGTACGCTTTCAGWGCWGAGTGTACGACTTCATACCGGAACTTTTTGCTGTATCCTGAGTACTGCATCCTAAGTACCAATTCATTTACGTGTTGTACAGTACATTTCCATGGTAGGAGGGGGCTGCAGTTAAGGAGTACTCTTAAAACTTCTTGGGTCATAATGGTACGTTTGTTGTTCCATGGTAGTGCTGATCTTGAGTGGACCACATACTTTGAAGCAACATCCTTAGTATAGAACTCATGTAGAACAACTTGTGCGCTTGTGTTGTCACTCTCYTTCTCTCCTGTCCATACCTTAAGATCTAAAATAGGTAGCTTTCGATCCCGGTAGTTAGTACAGTAATCAACTTCAACCTGTATTGAAGTATGGATAGAATTGGCTACCGACCTTAGAAGCTCCATAGCTCTTGCATCTTTCTCCTTTTCTTTATCATCGTCTCTTGTACTATCTGTGATGGTGATAGCTCCATTCTCATATCTTGCACCGACTTCCGGTACTTTCATGACAATGTTGATGTCATCAACATATCTCTTGTACATGTATATATCTAGTCCCTCGCACCGATGTGAGGCTTAAATTGTGAACATAGGAATCTGGCGTGATTCGTGACTTTTGAATCACGCCAGATTACTTTGAGTCACGCCAGATCCCTTTGTTCACAACTTAAGCCTCACATCGGTGCGAGTTTTGAATTTGGTCTATCCGTTAAAAAAAAAAATTTTTTTTTCTAGGTGCGACCACTCTCTACCAAAGAAACTACTGCTAAGATTGAAGACATCAGTAAACAGCTGGAGGGAGGCTTATCAGAATTCAACCCTGAAGAAAATGCTCAGAATGTCCTCCAGTTGGTCACGGCAGCCAGTTCGCTTATCAACAACGACAAGGAACAAAATACCGAAACAAAGGCTAAGCTAAGAACACTGATGGTGGACAAACTGTCCAAGATACAAAGTGATGAGCTGCCCATGATTGCTGAAAAATGTAACGCTTTGTCACTAGCTATTGAGAATGAGTCTGAGGTCACGTCAGATACACAGGTAACGCAAAGTGTGACGTTTTGATATCGCTAGAAGCGTGACATTTGCTGATATATTGGTGGGTCTAGCTTCCTGTAGACATTTTTTGAAACTATTACGCAAAATTCGGATGGACGGATGGACGGATGGACGGATGGACGGATGGACGGATGGACGGATGGA